GCCTGGGTGGCTCAGTCGTTAAGCGTCTGCCTTCGGCTCAGGTCATGATCCCAGGGTCCTGGGATCAAGCCCTGCATCGGGCTCCCTGCTCTGCCAGAAGCCTGCTTCTCCCTCTCCCACTCCCTCTGCTTGTGTTCCCTCTCTTGCTGTGTCTCTGTCAAATAAATAAAATCTTTAAAAAAAAAAAATTACAGTTTTTTTTAAAAAGCAAGACTGTCATGGGTAAAATCTAGCTTGGTAAAATAAAAATATAACATGTCCTTTTCTTTTAGTTTTGTTTCTCTCAAATGGTTACAGTAAATGGAACCTATCTTAGAAAAGGTGTGCTTGGATACCTCTACTAAGGGTCTAAAAATTCATCTCCCCACAGGTCCTTAGAGCCAAAAATTGATTATTATAATGTACAAATTAGCCCAATCAAAATTCAGGTACATGTTCATTTAAATCAAACTTATACCAAAATTTTACATTCGGTACCTAAAAACTATATTTTAAAACAAACAAAAAAACCCTGAATATTCAGCTACTCACTAATCAAAAGGCAGGAATTCTCACATCAGGATTAACTCTGAGCCTGAGTCAGTTAAAAATAAATTAGCAAGTAAGGAAAAACTGTATCAATTAATAATTTAACAATACTTATCACTGTAATCTCTAGAATGGAACCATAGGAGTGAAGAATAAACAGAACTGGAAAACTGCTCTAGAAGATGACTTGATTAGGAAGGTTAGAGGAAGACAGAAGATATTAACAACCATTTTTGGAAATTGTCTGTCAAGACCCATACCCATTTATATCCTTATCTCAATCCATGTTCCTTTACCTAAACTCTTGGCCCAGCCCTAACTCTTGTTTTCTGTGCTCCTATTTTAGCCATTTCAGCCAACCTCTAAGACAGGTGGTTTCCATTTCCACTCAATGTTTTAGCTCTAGAATGAAAACATCCAGGTGGAGTCAGAATCATAGTAAGTAGAACACTTTGCTTACTTTTTTATTTGTTCTAATTTATCCTCTTCTGCCTTAATATAGTCTTTCAGAGAAGTCACCAGATCTTTCTCAGTATGGATCAAATCAGTCATCTGACCTAGAAGGAGAAGGGAAGGTTATCAAATATCTACATTGGTCAACACAAGTATTTTAGAATAATTTAAAAATAACCAAGAATGCTTCATTCTTTGAGAAGATTTAACTGGTATGAGACACAGATATGTTGGAGAAAACATCTTTCTTCTTTTTTCGTTTTTAACTAGTTCTAATTTTCTAATTCTAATTTTCTAATTTTCTAATTCAAGCTACTTCTAATTTTCAAGCTACTTCATTTTGCAAATTGGACCATACTGGCAAACTGATCTAAAAATTTATTTTTAAATTACAAAACAACACTACTTTTTCTTCTTCCCTACCTCTGCTCTCATCTTTTTTTGTTCTTGAGACTAATTAGTATTAATTTTGTATTCAATAAACTAAAACCACACTAACAAAAGATACACTTCAAAAATGAAATTCAAGTCATCCATGTTTAGTTATTTATAATGCGATAAGAAGACTCATCATTTTATATCCTAAAATTAGATGTCATAAATATAATACTTGTGTTTTAGTTAGCACTACTATCACACAAGGGTAAAACTGGTTAACAGCATGAAGGAAAACATCTCATTTAAGGCAGATGAAGTGTGCATATAGGAAAATATAAAAGGATACATATCAAACATGAAAAGTATTTCTGGGGGAAAGAGGACATGTGGAAGTCTTACATTCTATGTATTTTTGTTTGTTTCTTCTTTAACCATATGCTATTTTAGTAATACTTTCAAAGATTTTTTTAAATTATGCTGTAGAAAAAAACAACTTGTGTTCATAGTAGATTCTTAAATGAAAAAAGCAGGTTATGAAATAATGTGCAATGTGTTATTTATATCTGTGCATTAAAAAAGACTATTAAATTATTTGCTGAGTAGACTCATTAACAAAGAATTTTCTTTGTATGCTTTTCTAAATTTTCTTAAGTTCTAACCTGAAAATGTGCTGCTTTTGTAATCAGAAAAAAAATTTTTAATTAAATTTTAAAAAGAGAGAGTTGTAGAGGGGAAGGAACCAAATCAATGCTTGTCTCTGGGAATATACTCTATTTGTTTTTGCTGATTTAAAAACACTAAAAAAGGGCGCCTGGGTGGCTCAGTTGGTTAAGTGACTGCCTTCGGCTCAGGTCATGATCTTGGGATCGAGTCCCACATCGGGCTCCCTGCTCAGTGGGGGGTCTGCTTCTCCCTCTGACCCTCTTCCCTCTTGTGCTCTCTGTCTCTCATTCTCTCTCTCAAATAAATAAATAAAATCTTTAAAAAAATAAAATAAATAAAATAAATAAAAACACTAAAAAATGGGGTGCCTAGGTGGCTCAGTCTGTTAAGCGTCTGCCTTCAGCTCAGATCATGATCCCAGGGTCCCGGGATTGAGCCGCATCGGGCTCCCTGCTGAAGAGGGAGCCTGCTTCTCCCTCTCCTTTGCTCATCTCCCTCTCCTTTGCTCATCTCCCTCTCCCTTGCCACTCCCCTACTTATTCAATTTTCTCTGTCAAATAAATAAAATCTTAAAAAAAAAAAACAAAAACACTAAGGGCGCCTGGGTAGCTCAGTCATTAAGCGCCTGCCTTCAGCTCAGGTCATGGTCCCAGAGTCCTGGGATCGAGCCCCACATCGGGCTCCCTGCTCGGCAGGAAGCCTGCTTCTCCCTCTCCCATTCCCCCTGCTTGTGTTCCTTCTCTCGCTATATCTCTCTCTGTCAAATAAATAACTAAAATCTTAAAAAATAAATAAATAAATAGATAAATAAATAAATAAATAGATAAATAAATAAATAAATAAATAAATGGAAAATTTTAAATGCAAGATCAACACAAACCAAAAAATAGTAAGACTTACCAATTGAAGTAAAAAAGCCTGGATGGGCCAAAGACTGGGGAAGTAGAATCCCTAAAATTAAAATACACCAGATCATCTTGGAGGACTTAATTTTTCAGGTTCACACACCTACAAGAGAAATATGGCCATTATAACAACAACAAAAAGTAGGGTAGCAAAAGTTCCTAACCGATTTTTCCTATAAACAAAATGTAAGTCAGACACGAAGGTTGCCCATAGACTGTTAATTCTTATACGTTGATTTAATAATTTAATTAATAAGACCTACTATCTTATTTTTCATATAAATACTAACTTTATATTTCATGTTAAAGAAAAATATAAAGGTTTGTTACCACCTGATAATTTATGCTTAAAAATTCAACCCAAGTTTGTTTTCTCCTTAGTTACTACTATAATTAGAGTGATTAGATAGTAACTCTTCCATATAGCCTGAAAAATAAGTTTTCTGTTATCTACATCTAAACTATGAATTTCCCATAAAAATATACTACTTCATTAAAGTAACTTAATTTGGGGGTGCCTGGGTGGCTCAGTCAGTTAAGCGTCTGCCTTAGGCTCAGGTCATGATCCCAGGGTCCTGGAATCGAGCCCCACATCGGGCTCCCTGCTCAGCAGGAAGCCTGCTTCTCCCTCTCCCACTCCTCCTGCTTGTGTTCCTTCTCTCACTGTGTCTCTCTCTGTCAAATAAATAATAAATAAAATCTTAAAAATATATATATAAAAAATAAAGTAACTTAATTTAAATATTACCAAAATTCATTCTGAAATGTTAGAATATGTTTTAAAGGGAAAAAATAGTTTTCAGAGCCACCGATTTATCCTTTAAATTCCTAACTTGTTCCATGTTTTCCCTACATGGCTTTCAATTTTAAAATAAGTTCAATTATAAAAGTTGTACATTTCAGGGAATCTGGGTGGCTCAGTTGGTTAAGCGTTTGACTTCTGATCTCAACTCAGGTCTGACCTCAGGGTCATGAGTTCAAGCCCTGTGTTGGGCTCCACGCTGGGCATGGAACCTACTCAAAAAAAAGTTATAGATTTTTGGGGTGATGAAAACATCCTAAAATTGACTGTGGTGACTGATGGTTGAAGAACACAGTAACAGTACTGAACACCACTGAATCATTACCATGAAATGGGTGAACTGTATGGTACAGGAATTATATCTCAATAAAGCTGTTATTTTTAAAAAGTTGTACAGAATCCAAAAAGAATAAATAGCCCTGTCGATTTAGGCTAGTAATTTCTCTCAAATGACCTAGTTTTGAGGGTTTTTTAACTACTATGCTCTTTGTAAAAATTCTTAGCCTAGTACACAGCTATGGATTTTTTTTCTAAGTTGGCAGCAAAGCCCTTCTGTCTTTTTTCTTTGTCCCTGGTAGCACTGATTTTTCTAGAACAAATGCTTCTCTGCAGGTGCAAATATCAACTAACCATCAGAAAGATTTTACCCTTCTTTCCCAAATGTCCTAACACTCTTTTCTTGCTCCTTCATCATCACATACATGGATTTTTAAGTCCTCCTCATTACCTTACAGAAGAGTAAGTTACTATTACAGTACCTCTTGCCCAGTAACAGGCTCCCATTGGTTCATCTTCTTGTCTCCCTATCCCTCTTTGAGCAGGCACTTCTGACTCTTTCCAAGTGACTTCACTTAACCCAACAGGTTCAAGTCCACATTGGAAAGCTCCGTACTCCACCAAAACAAACAAACAAAAAACAAAAACAAAAACCCTTTCCCCTTCTTGAATCTCAATAAAAAATAGATCACCACAGAAACCGACATTCTTCTCCCTCAAGTTTGCCACAAGCTTCCAGAGACTTCCAGAACCACACAGTAGTGAAATACACTGCTCTCTTGGCTGCTTTACAGTAACTCTTTGGGAAGGCTTCTAGAATGCAGCAGATGCAGACACTTCCTCTCCTGGGCTCCAGCCAAAACACAAGGCTTTTTCAAAATCCTGGGCTGTCTGAAAAGTCTAGAATCTTCTCACTGTTTATACAGATTTCTGCCATAATTTTCTTCATGATTAAATGTTATTTCCAGAAAATACAAATGCTTTTGCCATACTGACAAAAGGCTAATCAGAAATGCTGTTTAAATGTTAAACTCTGATAAGAAAGTTTAGATTTGTCAGATAAGAGGTTATTTTTTCATAGCTAAAATATTATTTTGTAACTCAAGTTTTTGTCAACTTTCAATGTCCTTAAATCCCTCAATGAATCAAGAACCATTAGCCTACAGAAATCACTAAAGTTTGAAAACTGCATTTTAACAATGATAGAACTTACATAGAAAGTCAAGGCATTAATCAAATGAAGAATAAATATACCTTTACCTTACATCATGCTCCAAAATAAATTCTAGATGGATTAAAGAGCTATAACCAACAAAAAGTAACAAAAAGAAAAGTTTCTAGATCTCCAAAAGGAGAAAAGAATCTCTAAACTTTAAAAAAGATAAAACAACCTATCAAAAGCCAGATGGAATTTAAATACACAAAATAATCTAGGCTTTATATGTGTTTTTTTAAAGACCCCATAAACAGGACGCCTGGGTGGCTCAGTTGGTTAAGTGTCTGACTCTTGATTTTGGCTCAGATCATGCTCTCAGGGTCCTGAGATTGAGCCCCATGTCAGGCTCTGTGCTGAGCATGGAGCCTGCTTGAGATTCTCTCCCCCTCTCCCTGCTCTATCAAAAACAAAAACAAAAAAAAAAAAAAAAAAAAAAAAAAACCCTATAAACTACAAATTAGGAAACTAAAGAAAATGGAGCTCATTTAAGGAGCTCATACAAATCAATAAGAAAAACACTAAGATATTAATAGTAAAGTCGATAAAGAATGCAGAAAGTCGGGGCACCTGGGTGGCTCAGTCGGTTAAGCATCTGCCTTCAGCTCAGGTCATGATCCCAAGATCCTGGGATCGAGCCCCACGTCGGACTCCCAGCTCAGTGGGGAGTCTGCTTCTCTCTCTCTCCCTCTGCCTCTCCCCCTGCTTGTGCTCTCTCTCTTGCTCACTCTCTCAAATGAATAAAATCTTTAAAAAAAAAAAAAAAAAAAGAATGCAGGGGCACCTGTTTTATCTTTTTTAAAGTTTAGAGATTCTTTTGGTTAAGCATCTGCCTTCGGCTCAGGTCATGATCCCAGGGTCCTGGGATCGAGCCCTGCATCAGGCTCCCTGCTCAGCGGGGAGCCTGCTTCTCCCTCTGCCTCTCCCTCTGTGATCTCTCTCGCTCTCTCTCAAATAAATAAAATCTTAAAAAAAAGAAAAAGAATGCAAAAAGTCACAAAAGAACTAAAAATAGTTTAAAAAGTTCACTCAGTTATCAAAGACCCATTTTTTGTCCTTCAAATGAATAATTAAACAAATTCACAATTAAAAATATCTAATGATGGTGCTATAAATGTCAAGGAACTTAAAATGAGTATATCCTTTAACTTGTGAATTTAAATGAAAACACAAAATTTAAAAATTAAGAAAATGACATTCATTGCTGGTGAGAGTGCAAAATGGTAAAGCCGTCTTGGAAGATGGTTTGGCAGTTTCTTAAAAAATCAGACACACTCTTACCATACAATCTGGCAACTGTTCTCCTTTGTATTCACCCAAAAAAGTTGAAAATTTATGTCCACACAAAAACCTGCACATGGATATTTCTAAGTTTCTTCATAATGGCCCAAATTTGGAAGCAACCAAAATGTCCTTCAGTAGGTAAACGGATAAACAAACTGGTACATACAGACAATGGAATATTATTCAATGCTAAAAGGAAATGAGCTATCAAGCCATGAAAAGACATGGAATAATCTTAAATGCATATTTCTAAGTAAAAAAAAAAAAGCCAATCTGAAAAGGCTATGTACTGTATGATTCCAACAAAGACATTCTGGAACTACAAAGACGGTAAAAAGATCTGTGGTTGGGAGGTGGGAGGATGAAGAGATGGAGCACAGAAGATTTTTAGGGCAGTGAAAATACTCTGTAAGATATGATAATGATAAATACATCATTTATTTTTGGACATACATTTGTCCAAATCCACAGATTATACAACATCAAGAGTGAATGGGTAATGTAAACTATGTATGGACTTTGGGTATCATAATGTGTCAATGTAGATTCAAGCACTTATAATAAATGTATCACTCTGGTGGGGGATGTTGAGTCTATCCATGTGTGGGGGCAGGGAGTATACGGGAAATCTCTGTACCATCCTCTCAATTTTGCTGTGAACCTAAAATTGCCTTTAAAAATTAAGTCTCAAAATAAATTAACATCATACAACCCTGGTGGAATCTGTATTGAATTAGATTAAGTTTCCACTACTCTGACAGAAAGTCATAAATAAATATGGATCAAAACAAAAAAAATTAACATCATAATATAACTAACTATGCATGAAAATACACAGTGGAAATTCACCAAAATGCAGTTGTTTCTGGACAGCAGAACATTAGGTAATTTTTTTCTATTTCTCTGTATTTTCCAGATGTCCTAGGGTATATTTACTTTTATAGTGACAAAAAATTAACTCTATACAAAATCATAAACCTACAATAATAAAACATCAACTCCCATATTATGTGTGTCACCCTAAGCTTTTAATGAAATGGTTAACTACTCTCTAATACAAAAAAGTAGCTAACAAATACTATCCACATTTGCACCTGTTCTACATTCTAACTATATAAGCCTCCAAATTTCTTTCTCTGCTACAAAGATAGGAAGTTTATATGAAAGCAACCCAAATATCCAGCCATGAACTACATTGTCAGAGTAGCACACTTTTCTATTATCCTTCCTCTTACAGACAGACATAGGATGTGGGCTAAGCCAGTCACTGACATAACATTTGAGGGGTGGGTTTGTGAAATATAAAGCAGCTCCTTCTGGAGTTGCTTAGCTCGTAGGATATGAATTTGGAGCTGCCTGTGATGATCTTTCCCACTTGTCAAGGACACATAGGAGCCCAATCTAAAAACACAACAAAGTCATCCAGAGACAGACAATTCCAAGCTCCATAGTCCTGATTCTTCCAATTATTGCTTTGAATCTGTGGGCTACCCCAATAATCTTCCAATCCAGTAAAGGGAGCCTCTAA